GCATATTGTATTGACCGAAAATATATGGAATATTGGAATGTGTAGCACGTTGTATTCCATTATTTCAAAGTGTGAATTATCTCTTCTAGGTGAACATTATCTCAAAGTGTGAGTTATCTAGAAGAGAGGTGAGAGTTATCCAATTCCAATAATCTCTCATTATTCAAAATTTGAATTCAGTTATGACCTAATATCTTATCCTCATATTTCTCTCATTATTCAAAATTTGAATTCAAATGACTTTGTTATCATCCGACTCGGCAAGACGCTGTTAAGAGGTTTTAAGCATCCTATTAAATGCGATTAACTTTCAAACCGACGTGAATCAGAACCGCACCGATCAAACACAAAAGAACCGGTCTGAACCACCAAAGACCGAAGTAGTCAGCGACTACCGAGGTCAACATCCACCGAGGACAACACGAACCGAGGTCGTCACCTCCTTAAGCAGGTGACAAGGCATCTACGAGGGACTCTACTGCTCCACAAGATCTGTCATCATTTACGTGGGGCCCCCTGCCTCAAACCGCCCATAAAAAGCCACTTTATTCAAAAAGTAGTACACGAATCCCCATGTACCAACCCGAAATTACTATAAATAGTACACCCATGGCATTTGTACGGGGACGGATCTCTCTCCGAACTGAAAAAAAACTTGATAAAGTAACACGTAAAAGCCCATCACGGCTCTTCACCTCGGTTCACCTCGGACCGGGGCCATTGTCGATTCAATCTTACATGCTTTACGTCCAAATCATTCTAAATTACCCACTTAATCATAAATTATATCGTTGTTAACAATCACATAACAACAGACTTTAAATCTACCGTTCACATATTTTAATGTAGTGTGTTATAAAAGCTTTCAAGAATTCTAAAAATAGAATGTCAAACTTATTAATTTTTTGGTCAAAACTTTCTAAAAAGGTTTATTCCAACAACCTTTTTATATACAGATAGATGTTGTACAAGGGTGTTGAATTTTTTTTTTTTTTTTTTTAACGACAGATGTACTATTATAAATCAAAAGCGCACAAATGTGCGAATAAAGATACAAAGCTCCCAACGGGAGAATAAAATGGGAGGACATGTCAGAAGACTGCTTAGAATCCCGCTAGCAACGCTAGAATAAAAAAAACAACCCAAACTAAACTAAACAACAACTCAAAAAAACCCCCAACAGGGTAATACCCGAGTGTCGGATCCCAACAGGATAATAAAGTTGACACTCGGGCTCACTGAGGCCAACGACTCAGACAAAAAA